CAACAACAGCATCGACTTTAGCTTGTTCAAAATTATCTCTACCAGCTAATTGAAATTGTTTAGCAAGAAAACGAGCAATTGCTAATGATTGTGGTAATTTAACACCTTCAAATTCGAGAACAGGCATTTGACCTAAAGGCATTTGATTTTTATATAATGGCCATTCATTTTGTTCATAACGAATATCTTCAAATTTTTGACCAACAGCAGCAAAAATTAAACGTGACACTTCAGCTCGACCACGACCGTTGAAATAGTTAAGTCTATAAGCTGACATTGAAATTGTTTGACAATAATTATTCAAGAATGAAAATATTTTATATGTGAACCACTGAATTTATATGTGAAAGGAGAAGCCATAGGAATTTTTTGCATCGTCATTATACACAGGCATAATCAGAAGACGAGAAAATGAGAATTGTAAAACAGAAAAAAAATGACACTGCATATTTATTTTCAAGAACGTATACATGACAAATAAAGAAGCTGTACATCGTAAAACTATATTTAAAATCGTTTATGTAAATAACTTATTCGGAAAGAAAACAAATATGTTTAACAAACTTAAACTTGCCTTTTTTAATTTTTTACACAAGGTTACAAGTTAATTCTTTATTTATACAATAAAATCTTCATGAACAAGTTGGATATTCAAAGAAGATGTTGTGCTTTTTTGTTAAACATAAACTTATGTAAATGTTTTTTTTTATTCTAATATGTTTCAAAATGAATAGAAATAATTATGAAATAACTAAATTCTAATAATACTTATATTAGATAATTTACCCTAAAGCAAAAACGGATGACTACATATATTATAAATCATACACTCGAACCGTTTAAATTAATTTTATACAAATCTATTGATTGTTTGAACACTTGAGATTTTATGCTTTTATGTATCTATATAAGTCAAGTAGTATATACATAACTGTAGTTAAATAAGAACAATTACATCATTCTTTTCATAATATTATTTTGTATGTAGTGAGAGAAGCGAATTGTACATATTAAACAAGGTTATATGATTTAATCAATTCATTTCTTTTCTTCTTATTTTTTTTTTGTTTTTTTTGTTTTTTTGCATAATCACTATTTATTTACTCTCTGTACAATTACTATGACAGACGATGACAACCAAATGATCAGATAGGCATCGGTCAACGAATGTCTCGGTCCTCCCACATTTGCTTTCGAGACGATACTGAAATATATCCGATATGAATTATGAATGTCTTCTTTTTTGTCTCCGCCTTTAATTTTTTCCTTCATCTATAGGATCAAGCGTTAATCAAACAAATGAAAGATGAACAGTAGTATATACAACTATAATATCCGGTCGATATATATGTGCATATCTTCTATGATTATAGTCTATTATATTTATAAATCGATTGAGTTTATTTTAAATATAGACTGTCATTTGTTTAAATTTACAAAAAAAGAACGAAAAGAAAAAAAAAACAAACCGTTTTTTTTCCCTGCAACATTTTAAAATCTAATCGAATGTTTTGATAATAATTTACTTATTGAAAAGTGTTATAATTGGTCACTCAGCTTTCATCTATTAGTATTATTGAGGGTGAAAAAAAAGCGTACTTGTCTCTTCTAAATTAATAGTCCTTCTCTCTGTCGTTTTCATTTATCCTTTTATGTATGAAAGGATATGTTGTCAAATGGATGAGCAATTGCACTTAGCATGTTCTTCTTTTTTTTTTGCATTGATCGGATAACTTAGATATATGTCTCTGTGTATCATTCGTCTTTATACTTACTATCTCATATATATTATTAAGCCGTTGTCATATATTCATTCATTCTTTTCTTCGTATACCTTATATTCATTGATCGATTTCTCGTCGATATAAAGTAAAAAGAAAAAATAAAGAGGTTTGTCATCTTCGCTATCGTCTTGTTAAAAAAAAAAAAAAAAAAAAACATCAAGAATATAAATGTGTATATGCTTCTCTTCGGTGAGTAAAGTAAGAGTTGTCCGTTGATATGGATGAACGTCACGGGGTCGAATGGCCAGAACAACAATCTCAACATAGACAATTGTTTGTGAAGAAGAATAAAAGTGATATTACACAAGAAAAAAGAATGTCAAAAACTGAAAGTCGTTTCAAATCTAAACTTGGTAAGTTTAATTAATTAATATTTAACAAATTTTATTTATATATATATATATATATGTGTAAATAGAATCTTTAAAAAAATTACAACATTCAGCATCAACAAATAGTGCAGTTGAAAAAGCACGAGCATTTTTTCGCTCTTTAGAACTTAAACATCTTGGTGCTAATAGCAATAGTGATCATTCATTATCATCATCATCTCGTCGACGTACAACTACTACCACTACTACAAAGACTAATAATAATGATGCTAGTTTACTTTCTTCTTCGACATTTCCTATTCCTTCTTCAATGTCTTCATCAAGTTCATCGTCAATTATTGATGATACTCATAATACAATATCAACAACGACAACAAATGATTCGTCATTTAAATTAAAATGTCCTACAAATGGTATTGCAAAAGCAAGAATTATTCGAGTTATTAATCCAAATTATATAAATTCAAAAGATATGATTGTTCATCAAATTCTACATAATGAAAACGATAATCATCGATTAACATCATCCTATTTTTATTCTCCACACATATTATGTCAAAAAAATATTCCACCACCTAAACAATATTATAATGAACGAAGTCAAAGTTATTCAGTCTCATTTAAAAAACATCAAGAAATGCAAGCAGCATACGGTATGATATATGTATATGCAATTTTTTGAAAGAAAAAAAAAAAGCATTTATTAAAATGAATAAAAAGCGTGACATGATAACATTCAATATTTCATGTTCAAAAAAAAAAAAAAAAAAAAAAAAAACTATAATTTTGTTTGATCGAATGGGTTCATTATCGATCAACTCACAAGCGTGTCATAGCTCTAAAATTCATATAAACTTTTATATTAATAAAACATTTCGAACTCTTTAACGGTTAGTATAGCTAATGTTCATTCGACATTAATAGATGAATTAGTAGACATGAAAAAGATCAGTTTTATTATTTTCTGTCTCAATCCTAATACAACAAGAAAAAAGATTTTGATCTCGATCGTAAAACGAAAATCCCGCTCTAGTACTGAATTTAGTAAAGATTTTGTCAGGTTAATGCTTGAAATACTTCTTTTTCTTTATTACTGTTTATAAGTTTAGTACATATTGATGATAAATTGTAACCGATTGAGTCACTGATATCCTCTTTATGGGATACTAAATTTGACATAAATAAGATCGATTATCTTCGTGTCTGTCCGAATCAAAGATTTTTTTTTAGTCCCGTCGATAAATGAAATTACTTTGTCCATGTCTAGAAATCATTCTATCACGCTTTATATTTTCATTCTATACCGTTATAGTGACTTTTTCTACAGAAGAAATAAATTATTAAAATTTTGTTCATTGCTTTAGATTCACGTCCATTATCGCCTGTATCTGCTAAAAACTCTAATATAAAATATTCAAATCATATTTATTCAAATTGTCCATCATCTATTCATTCAAATCTAAACAATGGAAATATATTAAATAATCAAATGTCAACTTCTTTATATAATTATCGACCATTAATTTGTCGTCAAATGGAACCTTCACCATTAATGTCATCATCATTTCATGAACAATCTCATAGTTCATTAGATCCAATAATTCGACCATTACCATCATCAGCTTCATCATCATCAATGTCAATATGGACTCAAAGTGTTCGTCGTCTTAATACAGAATATATATCAACAATAAATGCTCTTCAACAAGCTAAAGAATCTTTAAAACAAATTTATCCTGATAAAACCGATAAAATATCAGAATATGCTAATTTAGTAGCACGTGGTATTAGTGATCTTTCAAGTGATGAAACAAAACCATTGTCAGGTATTACTGTTTGTTTAACAGCACCTATATCTCAAGATTCTTGTTCATTATCATCACAAATATCAAAAATTTCCAATCTATCAGATAAAATTTGTCCATCAACAATGTTTTGTAAACCAAAATTAGTAAGACCTGTAGAATTAGATACATTTATTCCATCAATATCTCAAGTACCTAAATTAGAAACAATTTCAATTGTTAATGAAAACATTGACAAACCAGATTCAATTGCTAATATTATTAAAAAATTTAATAATCTCAATAATTCATCATCAATATTAAAATCTTCAATTATTAAAGATAATAATAAAAATAATAATAATGATTCATTATCATCAGAAATTAAAAAAGAACAACAAGAATGTTTAACAAAAACTAATTCCTATGATCCAATTCAATCAAAAAAAGATCAATCAAATATTTCTTCATCATCATCAACAACTAATTTAAATACAACTTCATCTCCTCATGTTCAATTTAAACCATCAATAATTACATATGAATTAGACGATATACCTTATGAATCTCTACCATCATCTTCAGAATCATCATCATCATCAGTTTCACAAGATTCAACTAGTAGCACTACAACAACAACAACAACGTCATCATCATCATCATCCAGTGATGAAAATAATCCAACAGATAGTATTACTCAAGAAGAAACAACATATACAGTTGAAACATTTTATAAAACTACAAATAATGCACCATTAAATAATCAAGAACTTGTTATTATTCGAGAAAATACAACAGAAGAACAATTTAATTTAGCAAAAGAAAAACAACATCAAGATAAACATATAAATAATCAAATTCCATCACAAATTCCATATAAAATTAATGAAACAAAAGTTTCATCATTAACTACACCATTACGTACACATCGTAATGTTACACCTAAACAAACAGCATCAACATCATCCATTGTAGAAGGACAAGATAAAATATATGAAAAGTAAGTATTTCAATATTCTTTTTTTTTCTTCTTCTCTTCCAACATATATTTTCAAACAATAGCCACGTGAATATGTTAGATTACTCGTATACACATATCTTATATTTATTTATTTATTTTTCTTTCTTCTGTCTTTGTCGTAGTTATCATTCAGTTGAACCGTTATCACACATTACAAATGACTTTATCTCCGATAGTTATCAAGATAAAGACAATCAGACAACGAATGATGTCGTTACTGTCAATCCTCATACATATTCACCATCAACTTATTGTTTAGTCAGTAGTTCATCATCATCATCATCATCATCATCATCATCATCAAGTAATACAGCATCATCAACTGCAACTGTTCTTCTCAGTACTAATAAGATTACTACTCCTTCAACTTCTTCAAACGTAACAGAAATACCAACTAATACAAACAATAATCTTTCGAAAACTACTAATAAACCTATTTCACAACTTCCTAAACGTACAACAACAACAACAACGCCAACGCCAACGAATGCGAATGTCTCTCGTTTAAAACAACCATCAAAAATTGTTCCATCTTCAAGTAAATTAAAACCACCTTCTTCGACAATCATAAAACCAGTAAAATCAATGATTGTCAATAGTACAACTACACCAACATCAACGATGACTACATCATCAATGCGAAAATCAACAGGAATAACGAATCAAACATCTTCGATGACGAATAATATTGTCAATAAAACTACTCAAGAACAGGTAGGAACACATATCCATATATATGTACGAAGGCAATAGTTGCAACGAACGAAAGAATATACTATTTCGTTCATATCTTTTCTTTTTTTTTTTTTTAAATTTCTCTTTCAGTCGTCATCATCAACATCATTAGTTACGGGAAAAAAACAACAATTAGTCAACGGAACTAATATGACTGAATCACAAAATTCTATAGGTATTTATAATTCAATTCATATTAAATTATTCATATTCATCTTTTTCTTTTCATAACTGTTTTTATAATAACAAGAATGAAAGAAAAGAAAAGAAAAAAGAAAAAAAAAAAGAATGCAGTTTTTTAAGATAAAAGTGAATTGCATATGTGCGCGCGCACGCACATACACATATACTTTTTCATTTATAATGATGAATCTAAATTCTGATTCCATTCAATTAGATTCATCATTTTCGAATGGTAAAAATCGTGTAAGATCAATGGTTAATCAACTTAATGCTGCTGTATCATCATCTCGTCCAACTATTCCATCGACAACATCTGCTAAGCGTACACAAATTCCTTCATCATCGGTTAATGTTCGTCGTCCAATTTCAATGGAATCAACAATATCAACAAACAAAACTGCGATAGCATCTCCAAATCGTCCATCACTTCAACGAGCAATGACAATTAATAATAGTCCAGTAACATCATCGCCACCATCAACATCTCCCACAACGAATAATAATATTTCATCGACTTACAAACGAAAGTAATCAAATATTGATTTTTAAAGAATGAAAGAATGAGAAAGAACATATTCTTTCTTTCTATTTTATTTTAGAGCTCCACTTATTCGTTCAACATCAAATGTTAAAGAAGGCCTTCTCCGTTGGTGTCAAGTACAAGTTGCTGATTATCCTGTAAGTTATTAGTTGACTTTTCTTATTGTTCTTAAATCTTTCTTTTTTTTTCTTTATTTTAAAATTAAATTAGAATGTATCAGTAACAAATCTTTCATCATCGTGGTCAGATGGACTTGCTTTTTGTGCTCTAACACATCATTTTTTTCCTGATGCATTTGATTTTAATAGTTTATCATCTACAAATCGTAAAGAAAATTTTGAACTTGCTTTTCGTATTGCTGAAGAACGTGCCGGTGTACCACGATTACTTGATGTTTCGGATATGCTTATTATGGGCAATACACCTGATTATAAATGTATATTCACTTATCTTAATTCATTTTTGGCTAAAATTAAAGATCTTCATCCAGCAACCAACCATGTTGAACATTTTTAAACTAATTTCTTTTTTTTTTTTTTTTTTTTTTTTTCTCATTTATATGATGCAAAACAACATGTGTATATCTCGAGTAGAACAATAGAGTTTATTGTACAAAAAAAAAAACAAAAAAAATGAAAACGAACATCGTCACCATCATTTTTTTTTGTATCACGTATTATAATAATATATATTAAATGAAATCTTTGGTGCTTTATTGAAACAAAAAAAAAACTTTTAAGAATAATTAGCAAAAGGAAAAAGAAAATTGTAAGCTATCACACAAATAAAATGTATATTCACTCAATACCAATAGGTACAGATAAACGAATATTAGGAGTTGTTGCACCTTTCATTTGGGCTGTCATACGAAATTCATAAGTTATAGCAACAGATGGTATATTATCAGGTTGACCACTTTGATTAGGTACATATGTGGGAAATAAATTAGCCGGTAAAACTATTTCACACTTAGCATAAACTTCATTTTCTTTTGTATTTTCAGCTATTTCGTTAAGTACAGCTGTAAATATTTCATTTTCACGTTTGATTCCATCTAATGAAACAGTTTGCATTAATTGAGCTGTTACAGCTTTGATTTGTTTTTGTTTAGGATTTGTTATTGAAACTGTTATAGGTACTATTGGACAATCACGACCAGAATAAAATGATTTTTGTAAACTACATATCATTGTTACATCATTTGAACCTAAATATAGAGAAATTCTTTTTTTAATATTAATAAAAAAAAAAAAAGAAAAGAACATTTATGAATAGATATCGTTAAGAGAATCTAAACAATGTCAAATCTGACAAACTCTAGTGACTCATTAGGTTGATGTAGTCTATAGTTTGTATTTATGATACTGTGTGCTGTGTATTTTTTTTTTCCATTAACTTCCTACTTCGAAATATAAAATATTAATGAATATTATCTTTCAGTTCTAAAAGAATATATAAATATTCTTCCATTAGTTTTACCTGTTACTTTACATGGTAACGGTACAGTGATTAGAGGTGCTGGTGGTGCTAATGTAATTTGTCTGTGTGTATTTGGTAATAAACGTCCATCATGATAAATTTCCAAATAATAACTAATAGAAAATTCTTTAAATTCACATGATGGTGGTAAATTACTTCCAAGTGGTATACGAAATGGATAAACAACTTCTTGTTGTTTTATTGTTCGAGCTGTACCATTTTCATGTGATGTTATTAATTGACATGAATATGTTAAAAAAATATTATCATTATTATTTATTTGTGATGAATTCTTTTTTGAACGTGATGCATATCGTTTATTTTCAATTAATTGACCAATTAAATCAACACGAATTTCTTTTTCAATACGTAATTTTTTTCGAACATTTAAATGAAATTCACCTTGAATTGTCGATAGACTACGATAAAAATCATTAGGTGATGAAAGTGTTAAAGAATATTCAGCATTTGTTAATGAAGATTTTGTTGAATTAAGACCCATCTATAAGACAAAAACAAAAAAAAAAAGAAATGAAACAAAACAATTAGATTTACGCATGAGATATTTTTTAGGCTTAATCATTGCCTGTCATCTTTATACGCTTCATCACACATCTAATAACATGTGATGCTAGACAATTAAACATTTGACAGGTTCATATTTATTACATTAATTAAACTATCTTTATTTCAATTTTTAAATTTTACAATAAAAAAATAACTTACTTGCAAGTTGATAATCAAGTTTGAAGATTGACTTTTGTTTTATAAAAAAGAATATAAATAATATGACACTTACATTCTCTCTTTTTCTATTTTCCTATGTATGATGTCTTTTGAATATATTTACACAAAAGAAAATTAAGGATCCCCGTTTTTTTTTTTCTTCATCATTCTATAGATGAACTTTAAGACAATACGCATTTGACTCTTGACGTTCTCTTTCACCGCATATATACATAACTAAAAATAAAAAGTGTTACGTTTCATCATGAGAGTCCTCTTCCAAATCTTCATCGTCGTCATCGTCATCATCATCATCATCTTCTTCATTACTTTCTTCATTTTGATCATCATCATCTTCTCCTTCTTCATCATCATGGTCCTCATCTTCTTCTAACTGTTGACTTCCATCATCATCATCTGCTGTTACATTTTGTTCTAGAAATGAAAAGACATAAATAAAAGAAAATCAAAAACAGACAGACAATATAACTAAATTCTTATTCTATGAAAAAATGTTATTAAGAAAATGAATTACTAAATTAATATTAGAATTTCTTTAATACCTCGTTCACGTTGATATTGTCGATAAAGTTGTTCATGAGCAGCTGACATCATTTCTCGAGCACGATTTTGATAATCAGTAACACACCAACCATCAGCTTCAGTACATTCAACTTCCTAGAAAATAACCAGATATGTCAAATAAAAGTCAATTTTTTTTTCTATGAAAAAGTCAGAAATTATTTAATAAAGCATCTGGCATTATTTTATATAAGACTTATTTTCAATGTATAATTCTCAAAGATAATATATATTTATATTATAGATAACAAAGATCATGTTAAAAACCATATATATATATATATATAAATATGAGCTTATCTTAATTATATTTTTTCACCTGAATGATTCATTTCATTTTTAAAGGATATAAAGTTCTCATATTGTCTGCAAAACATAATTATATTTACATTATGATTCTGGTTTTTCTTTTCTCTATTATCCTTAATGAATTTGACACAGTTCAAATAAAGCAAGTCGAATGAAAAGATATTCATAGATAAATATATTTCAATTAACTCATATATGTTTATTTATTATCATATCAATAGATCTTCTGAAGTTCTAATATCTATAAAAAATGAAATAAAAATAATTTAGTATAAATACACATGTGTAGATCGTATAGTCTCATTTCTAACATCAATAATGTCGTTTATAATTTGATTGGTCTATTACATTAAGAGGAAAACATTCTGAAGAGTAATGATATAATATTCATAGTTGAATTCATACTTAACTATAGAATTTCCTTCCGTAAAGAATATTATAATTTGAGAAGATGAGTTGAACTGTATTTCATAGTCATCATTTTAAATAGGTTATATCATTTTTGACTTTTTTTTTGTTCCAAAATAATAAATAAATCGATCTCATTGTCTTCTTACCGAGATTGTATATTGATTTATTTGACATAGTAAAAATATAGATTTTTATCGTTTTACTTTTTGAAAAAAAATAACTCTGATCTTTTGTTTTTTTTTTGTTTGATATTTTCAATCGTCTCTTTTTTTTTTTGTTTATGCATACAAAATTATTTCCTTGAGGTATACATACTTCGTTCTTTCAATTTTCTTATCATCAAAAGTCGACAGGTGTGTTTATCAATAGTGGAAAGAAAAAATACGCCTGTCATGAAACAAAACTTTTCATCGTTTTTTCTTTTTTACTTTAATGTAAAAAAAAAGAAAGAAAAAGAAAGAAATATTCTTTTTTTCTTTACTTGACCGTCATTTGAATGAACCATTTGTTGTACTTCATCAAGTTGTATATCAATCAATTGATAATGAATTGAACGTGCTAATGGTAAACTTGTTGTTTTAAACATGTACATTTCTTCCTATATCATATATATATATATAATACTCAATGCTAATGAACGTTTTAAAACTTACTGCATAATTTTTAGTATTTGATGCTGATATTGAAGTTGCTGTTGTAGAGATTTGTCCAGGAATTAATCTTAAAAACAAAAACAAAAAAATCATGAAAAAGTTATTAAGATTAGAAGTAAATAAAATAACAAACGATGATCGATGATAAGCTCTTGATGTTCTTGATTTGACAAGATTTTTTTCTGGATCAAGAATAGCACGTACACGATAATCAACAATTTGATAAATTTTTGATTTTGTATCCGAACGTGGATCATAACCATATTTAAGCCAACAACGATTCCATGGACCATTACAAAAAAAATATGCTACATGATGAATAATACGTTTTAAAATAACTTCAGTTATTTTAAGATGATATAATAAACTATTTCGTGTCCATACTGGACGTTGTTCAAATAAACGACGTAATTGTGTTATTATTGATTGATCAACATTTGTATAAAGATCATTTGAAGATTTTGGACCTAATATAAATTCAATATATTTTTATATATGTTGTATATCATCAACGCGAGTAGAGACGTGTGAGATAATTATGATTCGAGTAGTATAGGAAAAACTAATGACCGAAATCTTCTTTTCTTTCTAATCGCTATATCAAAATATGTAATGAAAGCTTTTAATTTTTCTTTTAATAATTATCTTTGTCAGTAGTTCCGGATCTCTGACAGTTTAGACACATTGCTCCGTATAATTAACGCTCTGTGCATATCAATAAGTGTATTGATTAGAGTAAGAATGCACTTAAATTACAGTTATATCCCAAACTACTCTTTTTTTTTTGTATATTTCGTTTATGAATGGATAAATTTTCTTGAATGATCGAATATTTTCTCTAATAAATAGTAAAGAATCAAGTTCATTGGCATTTGAATGTGTTCAAGTCATTTTCAGTGACAAAATAATATCTTTAAAATATTTTTCAGTTATAAAGAAAAACCAAATCGTATTCAGGACATGACAAAAAAAAATAAATTTTGTTTCTTAGAAAATAAATTTTTACCTGTTGGTACTGTCGTAGTTTCAAATCCAATATGATGTGCTGATGATGAACGAACATTTCTTTTTGTTAATTTATTACTATTAATAGCTTGTTTTGAACGTGTAATTGTTGTTGCTGTTCGTTTTGGTCTTGCTTTTGGTTCTGGTCGAAAAGCATAATCAGTTGGATCAAAAAAACGTGAAAATATAGCTGGAATACACATTAATGGACATGATCGTTCTAAATTTTCTTTATCTAAACATTGTCGATTTAATGCAAGACGATTTAAAAATGATTCATATTGATTATTTTTTTTAATCATTGGTAAATATTGAAAATCAGCAAGTGATTCAAATGAATAAGATGTATCAAGAATACCAATAACATGTATAGATTTAATAATTTTCGTATGTTTATTTCGACGTAAACGAATAAGAAGTCCAGTAGATTTATGACGATCAGCACGAAGTGGTCGTTCATAAATATTTGATGGTGTAAATGAACATGTTAATTGTGATGTTGTTGAATGTGTAAATACATCAACAAGACGTGGTCGTCCACCAAGTGTTTCAATAGCACGATCACAATTAACAACATTACATGGATGTTGAACTGTATAAATTAATTGAAGAGATTCAATTGGTATTGATGATGTTGTTGACATATTATATCTACAAAAGAATTTTTACATTGATTAAAAAAGAAAAACAATTTCTATATATCAATCAATCAATCAAATACAAAAGAAAACAAAATATGTTTGCACATTTAATCTAGCAAAAACAAAAACCAAATGTATACAAAAACAAAAATTTTACATCGAATTTCACATATTGAAATTTAATTGGAATGGAAAATTGATAGAATAGAAATTGCCAACAGACTAAAAAAAAAATAGAAAAACAAAACAAATATCATACCATTTACAATTCTAATTCTCTATAGATATTAACAACAAACATTTAATGAGATATGTTAATAGTTTCATACTATCGAATAAAAACAAAAAAAAAAGGAATTCTACTTTTAAATTTTAACATCTTATGTAATGATTATTCAAAAAAAGTATTTAAATAAATAAAATCAAATGTACCGAAATAACTACGTCCTACAATGTTCATTCATACAAAATCTTCTGCTTTTTTTGTTTGAGAAGTATTCTTACAATCGAGAACTAAAAAGTTATGATATTTAATATAGTTATTTATATATTTTCTAACTGGAAATATCATCAACTACAATTCAATTTCTTTCTACGCACACACTCTTGTATAGTTAAATTTCTTTTTTTTTTAAATTTTAGTCTGTTTATCATTTCTAATAAAAGCAAAAAAAATATATTTATTTTATGATTGTTAATTAATGCTTACTATTGAGAGAATATAAATTCATTCTGCAGATCCAACAAGTTTTTCTAATCCTGGACATCGACATATATCACATCTTCTAAAAACAACATCCCATGGCCATGATTCCCAATTATCATATAAAAGATGATTTATATCATTAACTTCATATGATTCATAATTTCTTTTTTTTAAAAAATTTAACATATCTTCAATTTTTTTAATCATTCCACGATGATATTTAATTTCAATTAATTTACCAAATTCCATATAAATAGCTGGAATTTCTGTTTGATTAAATAATAATGATGCATTTTGAAAAGCTAATGCTTCAAAACCTTCAATATCAATTTTTAAAATAGCACGTTTAAAAAATATTGGAAATATTGAAACTAAATCATCAAGTGTTATTGTATCAACTTCTGCAAGTACACGTGGTGGTATACCACGTTCATTAATAAAATTTTCAATTTTTTTATCTGCTGGTGCTAATTCATCAAGATAAGATAAATAAGAAGCACCTAAATTTTTATCAACAACATTTAATGCTAAACGTTCATGTTTTATACCAATAGCATTAGCAATAACTGTTACATGATGTTGAACATCATTTAATTGTATAGATTTATGTAAACGAATAAGAGAATCATATAATGGTTCAACAGCAATAACATGACGATCATATTGAGTAGCTAATAAAGTATATAAACCTAAATTAGCACCAATATCAATAACATCTAAAAGAAAAAAGATAAAAGAGAATCTATGATTAAAATTTAATGTTTTTCTTTTTTTTTGTTTTTGTATAATTTATTTTCTTACGTGTATTTGGTAATGTTCGTAATAAACGAAGAAAACTTTTAACAACAACTGGTTCCCATTTTCCATAATCATTTAATTGTCCACTAACATGTTCATCATGTTGTGGATCATAAATACATATTCGAACATCATGAATATCATTTTCATTATATTTTGTTCTTGGACATTGAAAATCCCATTCATTATCTTGTGTTACATCATAAAGTGTTATAATTCCACCATTTGAAATTTCATGTTGATATAATTGAGATTGACGAATATCTATTGTACGATTAAATTCAGTTGATAAAAGATGAAATTCTCCAAAAATAAGACGAGGAAAAAGACGATTTTTATTTGATACCAATAAATAAAAAAGAAAAAAAATACACATAACAATACAATAACGTTTGATTAATTTCATTGTTACATCAATAAGAAGTGAAGATAAACGAAGATTACGATGATATTTTAGAAGCATTGAAGAATTTCATAGAAATTTCTTAACAGATGTCTGTTACGTATCTTATTAAATGACTCATATTCTAGATTGGTTATAATCAATCTAGTTCTCATGTCTCTCTCTCCGTCATCTATATTCATTCATGCACATTCGATACGATGCAAAGAACAAACAACAAATCAACGTTCTACTTAGACAGATGTCTCTACTTTAGTAATATTTTTCAATACCAGAACGCCAAATGATCGAACGAGAAAGATACATCAACAGTCTTCTTACATTTAAATCCACTTTTTTTTATTATCATATATGGATCGTAGTGTGACAAAGAAAAGTTTAACATAGTTTGTATCGATACCATATTAGCATAGAACTCAATTTATATATACATAGAATATAATTAGAGAATATTTTCAATTGGTTTATTTTTATTTCTCAAAGAATATTCCCAAGGGTGTGTAAGTAAATAATGAATAATTACAAAAGAAATAATCTTATTGTATTTTTCTTTGTTCAAAATGAACATTACTGTTATTATCATCAACATAATGTAATTAATTAAGAATTTTGAATAGAAAAACTTATAACATAATTTCCGTTCATCGTACAAATGATTGAAATGAAAATTTTTTTTGTAAAATATAAAAATAGGATTATCGATGAAAGATAAAAATTTATAATCATGAAGAATAGTCATATTATATTATGAAGAAAAATCTTTGAAGTTATAATTAAATGTAAACAAATAAAACATAACATTATAATAAATATTTTCAAAATTAACAATCTTCATCTATATGTTATCAATCATTAAATAGTATTGATACCCTTATCCATTGATTCATTATATTAAATGTCAAACTTGTCCATACATATCAGACGACAAAATAAAATAGAAATGACATTTTTGTGATTTATGTACACAATGTGTTCTACATTATCTCATAAAGATTAATGATAAAATTCTTTAAATAACATATTTATCGAAATAGATTTTTTATCAGATACAAAAAAAAAAAAAAAGATTTCGTTTTTTTGAGACATTTTTGTTTTTATATTCGTGAATGCATCTTATTATAAATATAAAGAAGAGAAGAAAAAAAAACACACCAATACAAAAAAAACCATTAACAAAAAAAAAAAGGAAAAAAAATGATTATTACATATAGTACAAATAAAAACGGAATGATTTGTTTTGTTTTTTTTGAGGACTTATCTCTTAGCACTGTATTAACTTTCTCCAGCAAATGTATTTCCTTCAGCACCTGTTATAATAACATCAACCCATATACGCATTGATTCAACTGTGGGTGCAACTAAATAATAAGGTCTTTCAATTGTTTTAACAATAAATGTTGCTTCACGTGGTTCAGGTGATCTTAATGATATTGATTGTAAATGATCAACATAAACTTCAACAATTGATTGAAAATAAATACAACCACGTAATTTTGTTTCAGTTTTATCTTGATAATAAAATAATGAACGACGTTTACGATCAAATACAAACCAACGACGATTCCATGTTTTAAATTTCATTCCACCCATTTTAAGAAGAAAACCACGACATGATGTTGATGTTATATGAATATGTGGAGAATCTAATAAATGACCAGCACCTTCGATATGTGCACGAAGATCAAAATCAAGTGAACGTATTGGTAAATAACGTGTTAATGGACGTTCCTATTTTTGTTTTTTTTTTTAGAATTTAAGAATAAATAAAATTAATTCAATAAACATAATTACCTGCATTCGATTTTTTTCACGTAATTTAACTTGACATTGAATAAGATATTCACGATTTTGAATTTCATTTGCTAATTTTTGTTCTAATTCAACACGTTTTATATGTTCATCATGACATTGAAGAAGTTCATTATAACGTTCACGTAACTAAATTATTATTTTTTTTAAAAATAAAATTTAACAAAAAAAAAATGTTTTCACTTCTCGACTCCTACACTAAATAAAAATATTACCAAGAGGATCAACCTGATCTTTGAAGGAGCATCGACTCTTTGGCCTTTCACACATCAAAAGTAGAAAACTATGAGTATTGCAAAAAAAAGTTTGTGTTAGGAAAAAATCGATATTCCAATCAAATCATAATGTGTGAGTGTTGCGCATCGTCTCAAATATTTTCTAATGTCAATATCTTTTATTATAAGATTTTCTTACTTGTTGTTCGAGAACTGTCATTTTTTCAAGTTTAGCAACAGCAATCATTTCTTTAATTTCATTCAATTTTTCTTGTTCTTTATCTTTCATATGCATTCTAATACAAAAATAATGAAATATTTTCTATTTAATAATCTAAATTAAAAATTTTACTTCGGTGATGAAATACGATTTGAATAGTTTATTGAACTATATAGATTTGATGGAGTTGAATGATAAACTGTTGTATTACCATTAAACCAAACATCTAAAATAATAAAAACAATTAACTTTTGTGTTTTGTTTTGTTTTTTTTTTGTCTAAAAGCAGACTTTTACTATTGATTGATTGTTGATGATGATGATCATTCCCAGAAGAATTTTCTTGTTTTGATGATATATTATTAATTTTTTGTTCTAATTCATTAGCTTCAAGTTTTTTTTGTTTAAATAATAATTTAAGTTTTTGTTTTTCTCTTTCAAGTTTTTCTTTTTCTACAATAACTTGATGTAAAATAACATTTTGTTGACGGTCAAGATCATGTAGAGTATTCTATTAATAATTAGAAAAAATATTTTTCAATTTACAAAAAAAAAAAAAAATATATTTATTTTTTTACTTGTCGAATAGTTGTATTTTGTTCAATAAGAATTTGTTCACTTTGAAAATGTTCTTCAGCTTGTTCAAGTTCAGCTTCACAACGTGTTTCTAATTCCATTAATTGAAATTCGAGATCTTCATGTTTTTTACGTGTCTCAGCAATAATTTCTTTCTTTCTAGACAACATAATCATTGATTAAATAGAACATAAAAAAGAAAGATTACTAAACTCACTTGAGAATTTTATCATCAGACGGTCGATATTGTTCTTCGAGTTCACGTAATTCATGTTCAAGTTTAAAAAGTATTTGTTGAGTATAATCAATTTCATTTCGAATCTAAGATAAAAAATAAAACAAGAAAATTTAATATTTTTATAAATTAAATTTCTTTGTATTTTCTTTTTTTTCTTACAGAATTTTTTTCTGCCATTATTCGTTCACTTAATAATTGTAAATCATTATATAAATGTCGAATTTTTTGTTGATCACTTTCACTTGCATTTAAAATTTGTTTAAATACTAATTCATGTTCACTTTCTACCAATGCACGTTCAATTTCAAGCTAAAAAAGATAACAGGTAAAATATATATACAATAAAAAACAAAGACTTTTTTTAATTTTGTCTTATGTGTAGAAGAGAAAGAATTCATACACATACTTCTTTTTTTTTTTCGTTCACATCTGGTAACAAGCTGTCTATTTCTCATATCAACACGCGATCAATAAATTAGATGATATAGAATATAGAATGAAGAAAAAAATCAAACCTGTCTATGTCGTCTATCGATCTTGAAAGAAAATGATCATTTGTGCGCTAGTAATTGTCTTTTTTTTTGTGCGTTTGATGATGAGAAAAAAAGACAACTGTGCGATAAATTATTAAAATGAACTTTTTTATTTATCTGAAATCTTTTCATTTCATTTGATAAATTTATATGGGTATTTAAACTAATTTCATTTAGGAATAAATTAAAGATTGGCAAATGTATCCAAATACAATCTGATTAAACAAAAAAAAGAAACTTATCTCTATAATTCAATATATGTTTAAATAAATGGAAGACGAATAAGATAAAATTTAATTGAATAAAGAAAAGCTGTCACGATCGATTGTTTATACCGACTTTTTTCTACTGATAAACATCTAAAGCTAGTAGCTACATTAGAGACTACTATAGAAAGAAGAAGAAAAAAAATGGATAACAACAGTCATCGACATCATTGCTCATATCATCAGCAAATGTAACAACAATATAAAGCAGACAGACAGGAGCACCGTTCATCATTATTTTTTTCTCTCTCTCTTATTGTGTGTATGCATTAATGTCCAACCTATCAATAATACTCTTATACATATGCACAAAGACGTAATCATTTTTCTTCCTCGTTCTTCGACTTGTGAGAAGACACAACTTGTCGTCATATAATGAAGTTTCTTTTTAGATGAATTATAGAAAAGAAAAGAAAAGAGAAGATTGAGAAACAGATGGTTCAAAAGTATAAAACAAAAAACGTACGTGAGAGTTTCAAACAATGATTTCTGTTTTATGCATGAATATACAAGATTTTTTTTTCTGAGAAGACAAACATGGATATGCAATAGGTTGAGTGATTTAGCCTAAGGATGTAATTAGGCAAAAAAAAAAGAAAGAATTACCAAGAAAAGATCAGTTTGTAATGTATAAAAGAAATTTATTGATAGTTATTTATATGATCTTACCTCTCGCATAGCTTCGCTAAGACGACTTTCAATATCGACAATATTCTTTTTGATAATAGTTAAATCTGCCAATGTTTTTTGATAGGTACTTTGATATTGTTTTAATTTGCCACTGTTCGTAATATCAATTGGAATACCATCGCCATCATTCTAAACAGTAATCATCCACATCATCGGTCATCGGACAAGTATGTGAATAGAAAAAAAAAAGAAAAAAGAGAGAAATAGAGGACAAACGGTCAATGTGTATGTACGTGTGAATAGAGCAATCAAGGGCAACTTCTATTTCTCATTTTTTTCTTCTTTCCTGTCTTATCGGACATCACATCTGTAACGTCCAACAGACAGATGAACTAGTTCAATTAGTAAATCTAATATTGATGGTGAGAGAATACAACAAGCCTTTAGAGGAAAAGAAAAAAATAGAAGACAAGAAGATGAAAACATGCATATATGACTTCCTTTTATATTCTAGTACATGTTTGGATTCAATTAATAACAGAAAGAAAAAGGTGATGAAATACATCAAATTTAC